CTAAATAAAAATGAAATTCAGTTACATTAGTACATTTTCGATAGTAAAATTATTTTCTTGAATACATTTTCAAATATATCAAAAAAATAAAGTGTGTAGATCGATACATTTGTTTTGTTTCTTGATTCGTTGATCTTCCTTGTTTATTGTTTTATTAGTGACATTTATTATTATAAAAACTACATATATAAATATATTACCTATAGTAAATATTAACAGAGAACGCTGAAAAAAAATTTATAAATTTGATTAGTTTTGTAAAACTGAAATGTTTTGATATGGCTAAATATTCCATAATATCAACAAGATATCCTCTATCATTAGGCATTCAACCCGGATGATGATGTTATTCTGCCGTATTTATTTTTACAACGTTTCAATATTGTTTATGCTCACAGAATGTGTTTCATTAAATCTTTAAACTATAATTTACTCTGAATGACTTCATCTCCGGTCACACTGTTATCTGTTTATATGTCTGGACGGTTAGTTTTGATAGAAATTCGTACTATTTATAGTCCCATATGGCACTTTACATTGGAGCATAGTGCTTAAAACAGGTAATATTTGGACAAATTACAAGTACTTAATTTCCATAAAAAGCCGTTTCACTAAGGTGCATCGTATATTTTATGGTACCACATTAAACCGTTCATAGAAAAATGAAGGATTTGGCTGAGGTTAATAAAACGAGCTTAATCGGTTTTGTAAAGTTATCGGTTACGGTTTGGAAGTTAATTTTTTAATATTTGTAAAATTCAGTCTCAGTCCCGGGTATAAACAAAGGTAGTTTACAAATATCAAATTAATATATAATAATTAATTTTTAGTGTTGAAAATACATTTCTAATCTACATACCTATGAAGGAAGTTTAAAATATATCGATGGTTTCTTTAGGTCTGAAAAAATTATTTAATGTCTTAATTCTTTAATGCAAATCGTAAATTCTGTCATTGTAATTCATTTACATGAAACCATGATACTTCTGTAGGCATTTAAACTATAAAGTGGATTTGTTTTTAACCAACTAAAGATAAATGTTGAATTAGCAAGATTCTTGTTATAGAATACAACACACTCCCCCTAGTGTGAGGTAAACTTCCAAATTTATTTTAGAAACAAATGATTTAAAATAATACTAGTACTCAAATTTTTGCTCACCCAGAACAGACATTTTCTGGCTACTTTCCTTTCCTAATACGTACCCATTTGTTCACTTACACGACAATTAGATGTACAATTCCTAATAGTTGTATTCTGATCCCGACAACAGTAGGGATTAAAATTAATATTTATTTATTATATTCATTAAAACATTTTGCATTATTAAACGGTTTAAAACATATTGTATAAACAATATCCTGACTTTCTGAAATGTATGTAATACAGATCATTAAATTAAATTCTATCTTAAATTTAATTCGTTAAATACTTACTGCGAAGAAGAGTTTTTAAAACATACATTATATACATTCTGCATCCAGCTATAGCAATTATAAAATATATTTTGGATTCGACATACAAATATATATTATTTGAACACAACGTTAAGGTACGTAGCTAATATAACTAGATTATACTTACAATCCATATCTGGAAATATAAAAAACAAAATTTTAATAAACCTAAGTTTTTAAAATAGTAAAAAACATTGATCTTAAAATAATTATTTTACTAAACCATCATTAGGTGTGTGCTTTGGAAAATCGATTAGTTTAATAAAAAACAATATATATAAGAAAAATGTAATTATTTGCCATAAGGTTACATCTAATTTTCTTATAATTGGTTTATAAATGTTTTATTTATTTAAATGTTTGGTTTGTTCACTTTTTAAATTAGAGGAAACACCATAACTGTGTTTGGAATCAGACAATTGTAAGTGGTATGTATATGGTTTTACTACATAGAGTCCCCGCCTTTTATACTAGAATAGAAACTAATTAGGCTCCAATTTTTGAAATCGTGATACATTCTGCTGCATGCGATAAAAATTTTACCACATTATTAAAAAAAATATGGAATTTTTGAAATATTATAAAGTTTAGTTGTACTTGAATCATCCGATTATTTGTCTACTGGTGTAAAATCGGTGACAAAACATTTATCGGATGGGAATTAATTAAAACTTAAACAAAATAACAATTTTCATCAGTAAATAAATAGATTTATATTATAATATTTTAATTATACGAGGCGTGGCTATTAAACAACGAGATTACTCGCCTAAAGGGCACCCTAGATGGGTAGTGGAAAAAACGAGTAATGCGTTGGGTATCTAGATATCTTATCTATGCACGTACCAAAACACGTTTTCGTCACTATTATAGTATGTGTGCTGTAGTGGTTTGAACCGAACGTGTTTTTTTCTCGTGCCGAAAACCATGTGTGACGAAAAACATGAGCAACGGATAAACGTAAAATTTTCTCGATAAACTAAAAAAAACTCCAACTGAGTGCTATAAGTTGTTAAAAGAGGCCTATAGTGAGGATTTTCTGTCTCGGGCGCGTGTTTTTGAGTGGCATAAATTATTTTCTGAAAGTCGAGAGTGCACCGGAATCCAATTCAGTCATAATCCAAATTCAAAACCGTTTTCATCGATATCAATGGCATCGTGATGACTGAATGGGNTTGTTCAATATTTGTTTAAAAGAGATCACCTTTACTGTGATTAGTTAAGAACATCAGAAAGTTTTATTTCTATGCATAAATAGTCTAAACTATCAGAATGCAGAAATAGTGGAAAACGCAGGTACACAAAGATACAATATCCGTTTTGTTGAAAAAAATGTAGAAAAAGAAAAATACTTAGGGTACCCTTTTCAATTAATATTTGATTACGATAAAAACAAGAAAACACATTTAAATCAGTATAATAACTAACAAATATTGAACAAATATTTATTATTTCTCACATTTATTCTAAAAACAGATTCAATTATTTTTTATCAAAATATAAAATACATACTATTCTCTTTAAAACGTAATTCTGCGAAAGTAAAAAATAAATTAATAATTATCATTTTGTTTTATAAAAAACCATTATTGTTTTAAAAAAAAAAATGGCTTAATATTATTTTTTATAGTAGGCATAATTTTCCCAATTATTAAGTATTGCGTGTAAGGTTAATGATAATAGTATTTCGTAATATAGGAACAATTTATAGTAAAATTTTGGTCACTTATAACAGGTTTAGAATAAATTGTTTTTAAACACATTGTATAAAATGGGCCAGTCCAAATATTTCAATATATTAGCCACGTTCGGTCCTGGTAATCATTGTCTTTATTGGTCTTATATTATTGGGCAAAATATAGATATTGCAAGCTAGCACAGTCGGTGAAGCACGAGACACCTAAAATCAGGGTCGTGGGTTTGAGCCCCACATTGGGTGCAACTTTTTTGTCTACGTCGATAACTCCAACGCGACACAACATGTTCAAACTTTTAGTACTCTGGTTTTCGGTGTAAAATAATAGTTGACAATTATAAAATAATAATTGTTTTTATATTAAATATAAACTTAAGTAAGTTTTTTCTTCTATTTCGGGCTCTGTCCTTCATGTAAAGGAAATTGCCTATTAAAAATTAATATTTTTACGCATCAAATGTCAAATTGGTCGTTGCAAAAGGTCTACGTAC